TGAAAAATGCTTGTTCTACATGCAGAAGATTGATTTCTTAGATTATATTATTGAGATGAACAGTATTTCAATAAACAGAAGCTGAGTCTCTGTTATTGAGAACTGACTGATACTGTGAACATATCATGAGATACAGATGTTTCTAGAATTTATAAATTTCTATAGATAATTCATCTATACATATTCATAAATTACTGTTCTTCTTACAGATCTGTTAAAGAGAAGTGTGAAAGACAGAAAAATAGAACTGTTTATTCTCACTCAAGACACTGCACAGGTATTTGCAGAATTGAAACAAGCTTTCACAGATGTTATAATACTGAATCACTTTAACCCTGACTTACTTAGTATAAGACTGATGTATCTAAGAATGAAGTCTGTGAAATCTTTTCACAGTTGACACTGAAGATCTTTTAATATTAAAAGAATCAGAGAATAATTATCTCTGAAGAAACAGATAATGAATTATCTGTAAGAGAAGACTTTTTCACAGAGTCTATAAGACACTGTGAATAAAGATCAGTGACCTTCTTCTTTAAGAAGTTATCACTTATATAGAGAAGATATGATACTCATAATCAGAAGATATTAACAGTTGTTAAATTCTTTAAGATCTGATAATATTATCTTCAGAGTTCTAAGTACTCAGTGCAAGTTCTTACTGATTATACAAATCTATATTACTTCTTAACAATAAAGAGCTTGATAGAATGTCAAGCCAGATGAGTGAAGCTACTTTCAGAGTATAATTTCTATATTTAATACTGTTTAGATTAACTTAACTCTGCTGATATACTATCTAAACAGCTCAATTATAATATCATTGATATGAAGAAGAATTCTATAAAAGAATCTCTGTCATCACTGCAGAAGAAGCTGACTGCAGAGAATTAAAGTTCTCTGAAGCTCAGAAATAACACTGAAGAGACAGCTGTATAACTTAGTATAGAAGATGAAAGAAAACTCAGATCTCTGCAGAGAACTGACACTGAAGATTATAAGCTTCTTATATTATATCTTATAATTATTGAATTGATAAAGAATGAAACAGTTTACAATCTTTTAATCTGACTACTTTTAAAATTTATTAATAAGTTATAGAAGAAGAACATCTCTACTACAGCTTAAATTCAGAAGTTAAAGAAGAAAGAATCTAATTTGAACTTAAAAGAGACAGACTCTGAGCAGAGCAGTGTCACTAAGAAATCAAGTTACTGATAACTAGAAGAATGTGAACTTCTACTACTGAATAATTCAGTCTTCATTTCTTATAGTAGAGTAGTGTGTCAGAAGTTATTAAGAATTCATTATAATAATTCTTATACAGAGTACTTTAAGTTAGAGAAGACTGAGAAGCTTCTAAAATATAAATATATTTAAGACAAGCTTCAGATAGATATTAAAAAGTATATTAAGACTTATAATATCTATTAAAGAATAAAGATCTTATAGTATAAGTAATATAGTAAGTTAATATTACTGTCTATTTCAAAGAACTTATAATAGAATTTATTAATAAATTTTATAATTAATCTGCTGAAGTTAACAAGAGTTAAAGAATATAACTCAATTTTAATCATTATTAACTACTTTATAAAGATAATCAGATATATCTCTACTTATAAAAAGATTAAAGTCTCTGAATTAACTGACCTGTTTTTAAATATTATTATTTATAATCACAGTGCTCTGAAATTATTAATAACAGATTAAGAATCTCTCTTTATTAGTAAATACTGATCAGCTTTTTACTATTATCTTATAATAAGATGTTTTCTCAGTACTGTATTTCATCTGCAGATCAATGATCAGACTGAATACTAAAATCAGACATTAGAATAGTATCTTTGAGTGTTCTATTTATATTATCAGAATGATTAACTTAAACATCTTCTGACTACTGAATTCATATATAATAATACAAAGAATACAATCTTAAAAGTATCTTCTTTCTATATTTATTATAAATATAATTCTTCATTACTCAGTGATATTATGAATAATATTTTAAAGAGAGAAATAGACAGTCAGAATGTTAAATAAATATAGAAAACAGAGTATCTCTCAGTATTAGAAGTAAAAGTAAGATTGAAACTTTTGAATAAAATTTATAAGAAGACAGTGAAAAGCATCTACTATACTTAGAAGTAGTAGATAAAATACTATAATTAAAAACATCTTCTAATGAAGTTCTTGATAGAGAATTAAGTACTACTTTCAGCAAAGAATATCAAGATAATAAGACTATATAAAAAGCTCAGTGAGTGATAGTTAGAATCTTTTCTAATAATAAAAGTGATAAATAAGCAGATATATAAGTTAAAATTATTCACAGAATTGAAATCAATTCATTCTATTTTTTATATTTTCTATTTAAAGCTCTAAAAATAATGCTCTGAGATAGAACTATCTTAATTAGATAATATTAAGATTAAGAGTAATACTGAATATCTTATAAAGAAAATATTAAATAAGTGAATATATTATAATAAGCTTTAATATCTTGTTAAATAAGAAGATTATTTATTATCAGAGAATTTATAAGAACTGTTTAAGTATTTAAAAAATACTGAGAAAGAGATTACAAGCTATAAGACAGCTAGTAGAGACTGTCTTATTATATATTAGAGATATTAAGTAAGAAATACTACTTAAGACTTCTCATTTTTCTTAAAGAGTTTTTTAAAGATAATCTTATAGTGATAAGTCAGTGTTTTATAGACTCTATAACACTCTTCTTTTATTTTCTCTTAAAGAATTTTTTAGAAGTTTAATAAGACTATATAAGTATAAAATTTCTAAAGCAGTTAGAGAAAAGAGATATTGAAAATTAATAAAAAAATTAATATTATTAATCTGCAGATTACTATTATTCTAATAAAGTTACAGCTCACTGAAAAAGTAAAAAGAAGAATTAAAGTCTACTTATTAATAACTATATTTTTATCAAACTCATTCTTCACTGTTAAAGTCTCTGACACTGATATCTTTATCTGCTGAGAAGTTAATACTGTGATATCATAGAAGAGTATAAGAAATGTATAAAAATATTAATTTATTAACTTATAAAGTATCTCAGTTATCTGCTTTAATTAAAGTAAGATTCTCTTTAATCAGTAATTAATCTCTATAGTGCTTTTAACAGTAATATCAGCTGATCTCTTTTTAAGATTAGTTATTCTGAGATATTTTTTTATCTTGAAAATTTATACTTTCATCTTCTTTTACAGATGAGTAAGAGAAATCTTCTCAGTCTTAATAAAATTTATTAATACTTAAAGCTCTGAGATTCTCACTCTGTACTGCTTAAGTATCTAAACTTCTTATTAGAGCTGATATAATATCTTTCTATAAGATAATACTTATAGAGAGATAGAAGTCATTATTACAGATATAATAAAAATAATAAAAGTAAGAGAAGAAATAGATATATAAAATCCTTCTCTTCTTCAGCTGCTTAATACAGTACAGATAAGTAGTAGTATTAGTCAGAGACTGTATCAGAGCCTTCTTATAGAGAGAAGATAAAAAAAACTGTGAGATTCTGCAGACTCAACTCAGCAGTATTCTGAGCAGGGCTTGAGTGTGCTGTAGAAGAGAAACTATGAATTGAGCTTCTCAGAGTCACTATTCTCAGAATCAAGCTCTTTCTGAATTCCTCTCTGAATGATCACACAGGGTTATATATCATTATATTGGCTGAAGAAGAGGGTGGTGTTGCAACAGCAGTGAGAAGAGCAGGGAATGAACTGAATGCAGACACATCAGCTGGCAGAAGAAATGACATCTCACTGCAAGACACAGCAACTATCACCATGACTGTAAGAGAAGCAGAAGAAGATGTGATAATGAGAGCAGTGCTCCCGCAGCTCATTGATATTACTGCCTTCAACCTGGCTTTCTTAACAGTCACAGAGATCACAGTCACATTACAAAGATGTTTATTACTCACTAGAAAATATCAGAATAAGTCTCTTATTATCTCTCAAGAATGATGTTCTCATGCACTCACTATTACAGATGAAGAGAGAGAGAGAGAAATGTATCACAGAGAGAAAGAATCTTTTCAAAAAAATCCTGTCACTACTGTTAGCTTTGTCTCTAAAATACATCACTTTTGCAGAGAATTTTATATATAGAATAGAATATATTAAGAGATCTGTAAGTCACTTATTAACTACATTTTTTACATTTCAAATTGATATATAAGAAACTCACTTATCATATGTTTGATTTGAACAAAGATAAGAAAAGAAAGATCTATACAGTTAGTAGAATAACTCATCTATTTCTTTGTACAGTATATATACTGTCAATTGATTAGTAACTATTACTATATAACAAAGATAATTTCTAATTCAGTAATCTTAAGAGTATCAGAACTATGCTCTTAAAGAGAAGAACATTATCACACTCTCAGTCATATCAAGACTCTGTTACAAGTTTCACACAGCTCATTGCTTTTATGTGAATAATTTCATCTCATCTGAACCAGTTTTCAATCACTCTATGACATCATTTGAATATATCATAGAAAGATCTGATTGATGGATATGAGAACCCCGCTTCTATATGAGGTTAGCAGATTACTCTTCCTTGGCAATGAGATGCCGCTGAGGTATTGCTCCGGCTATCCTTGCTTGTGGAATGAGAGGAGGGTATCCACCCATTGTCTATATAGAATAGCTAGATGCTGGCTCCCCATCAAAGGAGCCAGTGATTCATTTTTCTTCTACTGGAATATATACAAGAGTTACTGCATGTCTCATACAATCTTCTTAGTATACTAAGTACCATATCTGTGATATCCTCGCAATAACCCTGTAGCCTACGAGCTCACTATTCAAGCAAGATAGTCAAGCCCACCCATACAGCTTCCCAAACAACTACCCCTACGTGACGCCGCCGACTAGCCACCGCTTCGGTTCCGCCACGTTACACTAATAATGATGGTTAAATATAGACAAATCAATCATAGATTTGAGAGAATATGATTTCAATGTGTCCGCGTTGATGAATGTGAAATTAAAAAAAGCCAGTGTGAAGTGATCTCAATTATGGAATAGCATGGTGGTGCAATGCCGGCTTGCTACTAATAATTGATAAATACACTATTTTTAATGAGATCCACTATTGCGTTCAAAAAGTACGGACGCACCGAACAGGCCCTTAATGGTTTTTTTTCGTCCGAAACCGGGACGAAGAAAACATCGGTTAGGGTGAATGAATCGTTGGAAGCGGGCCAAAATACCGGGTAGAATCCATCTGTGTTGGCAAAAGGATTCGTAGCTCCGTTGTCCAGTTCAAGTACCTACAAACAGGATAATTAGACATTATTAGCTATCACTTGTATGTTGGTCACGTACAGTGCACCAGAACTTAGCATCACTTCCACCGCCCCTTCAGAATCAGGACCAAGAATGCGATGCACCGCGTGGAAGGCCCGGATGATTTCCTGACAATACCATGAGTTTAACCGGTTTTCAGGCGCCTTCTGCATGGTGATGACGAAAACATTGCTATGGCTGGTTAGCGAGAGGGTGCGGAACTTGGAGATCTCGGTCATCTTTTCCAATATATTCTGGAGAGTGCAGTCGCGCAATAGAGAGGAATGCTGTGAATTACAGGACACAGTATTTGTTGCTTGCCATGATGAAGCGAATAATATTAACCGAGCTATTGAATTTCTCCTCCCCGCATTCCCTCTTAGTTCTTAAACAAAGACTAGTGCCGGGGCCTGCTGGTTCTGCGGATTATGGGGTAGGCATTTTGCCGAAGTCCCGAAATGCCGAGCACACTTTGCCGGTGAAGGAGCAGAAATGTGCTCGGGGATTAAAATAACCCAACAATCCCCAAACTAGAGAGAATATTTAAGTGCTGTGAGTTTATACTTATTTTTCTCGTACACATTACTTTGAACGCATACTATGGGCAAAGTGTGGGAATCAGACATACTTTCACCAAGCAATATCGCTATTCCAGTCCCAATCTTTCAGCAGCCAGTTGCCGATCCCTGCGTATTGGCCACAAATGATATCATCAGTGATATCCGTAGTTTCCCCACCGTGTGCTGTGCATCTGGTGTGCTCAGGAATGGTGGCTAGGGGTAGGTACCTCGTCCAAGTCTGCGAGGAGTACTTATTGGCGTTTTCAACTCTGCTAAAATCCCGGCTGTCATCATATCAGAGGCGCTGCGTGAGAATTGGTCATCGTCGAGTCTTCGTGGATCCAATAGGTCTTGAATGTGGGGTGTCAAAATGGCTTCTCCAAGCCGACACAAATCCGTTGGAAAGCCGTTGAAGCACGTTAGTTGCTCAGGGGTGAGACTCCCAATCAGCTGTGTCTCCTCGTATCGTTGGTTTTTGCTTGCCTCCTCCTTCATGCCCCGTAGCGCATTTAAACCGCCGATTGCAGAAGGCCACCTTGTTGAGAGTTCTTTTTGAGAATTGTATATTATGCGGAGATCCTGTTCAGCCTTGGCCCACAGGCGGGGGTAGCGGAAACAAGAAAGAAGGCCAACTCCTGAGGCCAAAAGATAGAAGGTAAATACAGGGCCTAGGAAGCAAATTTCGTCTCGAGCTAAGAAATCCTCAAAAATTCCTGCGACGAAGGATGACGCGAGCACTGCTGCTGGGGAGGGTGTGCTCGCAGGCGGAGTTGATCGAAAGAGAATGGCGAGGATTATAAAATACAGAACGTGTAGCTGGCGTGCTTCGAAGCTGTACGGTGCTGGTACTAACTTTGGGGAGGTGCCATTGTTTGAGCTTGCATACCGGAAGAGATGTAGATGGTCAGGGAGTTCTCGAGTCCAACGATAAAGCGCACCTTCGATATACTGACGTTTTTGGCGTGATAGATATGTGCGGCAACAGCACTGAGTTAGATCGCCTAGTAGCGAGGCCAATTCTACGTATGAAATAAACATTGGGCCGTCTGCAGTTGATCCATAGAAGTCTTCGTTAGAAAGCGATTTGACGTCGCAGTTGTCAGGATTAATAGCGCGAGGCCTTCCGTGACTTGCCGAGATTAAACAATCTCTCGCCTGCAAGGGAACGAGTTAGCTGTGGCGTACTATCATTTAAATTGACGAGGGAACATTTGTGTCTACATAAATGCCCCGATTTAGGATGTTTGGGGACAAAGAGAAAAAGGATATCCGCTCACGTATAAAGTCCACCACAATCGTCGACGAAGGGCTGCTTTCCGTCCAGGAGGAGGTTCCTTATGCAATCCAATCTGATACGCCAGACCGACACCAATGCGATTCCAGAAGCCGCTGGTGTTAAGAGATATATGTTCCGGCCCTTCAGGGTTATACCAGTGCATTACCAGTACGGCGGTAATGACGGTGATCGTATTTTTTTCATAGCCAGACCAGAACAAAGCCTTGGCCCGACGGTAGAACTCGTTTGGCGAAGCATACGCTGCCACCGCTGGAGCAGATGACACTCTGCTACCCGCGAGGAACACCGCTTGCAGGAGTAGCAATGACGGTTGGTTCCCATAACGTTCAGTTAGCCAGCTTCGCTCAACAATGGGCATCCACGGCGCACAGCGCTTCATGAACGTGTCTATTAGGCCCTCTCTAACAGCCCGCGGTGGTAAGTCAAACGCGTGCTGTAGCTGCAAAACACGAATATCCTCCTCTGTCAAACTCTCCGTCGCGACTGCGGGGTAAGACTTTGCCTGGTCTTCGTTGATGGGGACCTCACCGCCTAGATGTTCTGATCGGCCTAGAAAACTTGAAGCGCTGGGGCTCTCATCGTATGAATGTACATGTGGTAAAGGAACGCTGGACGTTGTGTTCGTGTAAAGAGTTGCTTTGTCTGGTTCACGGAGGATGGTTGTTGGTGCAGAAAAACCGGGATTGGGAGGAATTTGGCTTAGGGAAGGCTCTGCAGCTTCTGACGGGGGAGCTCCAGTGATAATGCTAACGCGCCTAGAGGCATTCCAGCCCGTCACTTTCGAATCCCAAGCGGGCTGCTTTGGCGACGAGGGTTGAGACATGTCATGGCTCCCATTCGCAATAGGGCTACCCTCTTTGACCTTTGTGGTGGTAACCTCACGCCGCTTTCGCTTCCGTTCCCGAGGACTAGACAGCAATCAGCAAATAAGACCCTACAAACCATATGTGTTGTAAAGGTAGGTTTGAGGCACGCACGAGCATTCCCAGCGATTGCGGGAGCAGTTCAGGCATTCTTTACTGTGTTCGGGATAGACGCAACGAATCTGCTCACGCGGTTTGCAGGTGATGTTAGAGGCCGAAGGGATATCCAAAACTAGGCTTCTCCCCCGGAGGATTTATAGAACGCCTTTGAATTGCATAGTGAATGGAGGATGTGAAGAGATACCTTTTTCATGTTACAGGCCAAACATGCGGACGCTGCACGAAGCCGGGATGGACTGTGGCCCGCTTTGCCTAGAACCGCCGGTGGCATCTCTGACTGCGCACTCATCATCCTGCAGGGTGGTAGTATTTCATAGCGATCGATATAGATCACATAGAGGTGTATGCGTACGTGCCGAAACTAAGTGTTAATAAACGACTGGAATGGGCTGGGTAGCGAGGAGGGAGATAGTTGATTTGTAGTCCGGTGTTGGTTTTAAATACATAAATAGACGTCGTCGGGTCACAATCTCCATTTCCCGAGATAGAACTAAATATGCGGGGGATGGGAAAAGAGGCTAGCCAGGAGACTAACCTATGTCACAGTTGACATTGATGTTTACTTTTAAATTTTATTGGGAACAGCGAAGGAATTCATTCAATGTTGAACTTAAATTAGGATTAATAAAAACTGATTATCACCATAGTAATTGACAAGATGATATATTATTCCATATGTTTCGTCAATGTCGCCCGGTTTTCAATGGGTAAGTGCCATTCAACAAGCTGGTGTAATCCAGAAAGCAGTGAGACAAGAACCTAGTACGCCTGGCAGATCGATCGCAACTTAATGCAGACAGAATATTTTTGATATAAGCACATCTTCGGCGCAACCGCAGACAAAGAATGAAGGACTGGGTTGTAATTTGACATCCGTGCTAAATAAACACCAGATTCCCAACTTGGATGTCTGGGTTATATATACATATGCCCCAGAATTGTTGCACGATGGTAATGAAGAGACGGATATATAGAATGGTAGAATGGTTAGTTAATTAAAATGGCGTTGAGAGGGATTATACAAACGGAAAGTATTAGGGTGATAGTTATATATCTGTATATCCGGAATAGAAATTACACCGCGGTTTATCTGGCCGAAATTGGAAAAAAAAAAAGAAAAGAAAAGAAAAGAAAAAAGAAAGGAATGGTCATATTCGTCATACCCTACAGCTCCTGGTGTCCCGAGATGGGTGGCGGAGAAGGGCGAAAACTTCCTTTCTTAACCTGCTGGAACGCGAGGTCGAAGCGGGCTCCCATCAGCCATGCGGCAAAGATCTGCGAGAGGCGTCAGTGTATAGACTAGAAAGGCTTTGGTGGTGGAGCAAATGTGTGAATATACCATAATTCCCGTAAGGACAGCCAGAATACCGAACAAGGCAAACATTATGTAGATTGTGTCTTGTCGGGCTTCGGCCTCTAGGCGAGCTTGTTCTGCCTCTTCGGGGCTCGGTTCCTGATTGGCCTTCCGTTGGGCGTACTCAGCGGTTTGGGAGGGGAAAATAGATTCGATGAATGCTTCAACCTAGAAGGTGACGAAAAAAGGACCATTGGTTAGGCATAAACCAAATCGGCCAATTCGGGGGACAAAACAACATAAGAGTCTGACTAACCTTCCCACACGCAACACTGATTTTTAGGAAATTAGGGTCCTTGGGAGTATTCTTCTTGTGAATTTTCCGAACGTATTGTCGGAAAACATCACAAATAGCACGAACATTTTGAGTGGACTGGAACATGAGGTGGCAGGCGGAACCTTTCGTGATCTTGACATTCCGCTCAAAGATGGCATCATTGCGGAAGCATAGTTGAAGAGTCGCGATGGCCATCGACTGGGGGATGGCGCAGAAATTAAAGACACTCTGTTCCTTCAGGCCAGCGAGATAGAAAAGACATTCATCAGCGTGCTCAAGAGCATTCAGAATCATTTCCGAGTTACAGTTTAGGGCTGCCTCTTTGTTTTCGGGTTTGAAGAGGTCTTCGAACTCGTCGACATGTTTGGACCAAATCTCCCTTGGCCAAAAGCACCTGTTGTCCACATAATCCTCTTTCACATCACGGATGATGTTGGTCTTCTGAAGAAACAAACCCATTGAAATAAAGAGTTCAGTGCGCTCCAAGAGGGCCGGGTTAGCAAATCCAGCCTCCACGAACAGCCTTGTGAGGCCCTCACCAACGATTCCGGCAACGTAATAACAGTACAGATCGTATTCTTTCACAGTCTTGACCTTTGCTGTGTCCAACTCGGCTCTCCTGCAATAATCCGCCATCCCACTTCCCATTTTCTTGGTGATGTCTTTTATAATGGTTCGGTAAGCAGGTTTTATCTTCTTGAATTCAGTAACGACGTTGTGGAACTGAACCAGCAGCTCACGGTCTTTCTCCTCGGGCCGATTGCCATTGAATGACCAGCCATCTTTCTCCAAGATATTGTGGAAGTCGCGGAGAAGCGGTTCCTTTGTTTGTAAAGGGATTGAGGTGTCATCCTCGATGGTATCCAGACCGCGGAGGACCAAATAAAACAGGCAGACAGGGAGAAGCAGTTCAGGATGCAGCTCCATAATAACGGCGCTGAAGCTTCTGCTGGTAAATTTTAGGAAATGGAAACATTGCTTCTCCGTTTCGGACGAATTTTTCTCATCTCTCTCGTGGACGGGGTTATGCCACACCTTCCTACAGCATCAATTAGCATAGGAGGATGAGGTTAATGTATGCATGGCGTCCTTTCTCAAATTGCACTAAAGGGGGCTGGCTCAATGGAGTGGGATGTCATGGTGTGATCATAATGAAGGCTTCGGTTAGGGCTAAGGACTGGAAGGAGGAGGGGAGTATACAAAGTACCATTTCGGAATAGAATAGACAGAAATGAGAGAAGCACCCAGAGGAGCTTACCATTGGATGATTGACCTCAGCTCTTGAGGGTGTAGAAGGTAATATATTAGAGTTGTGAAGCCAACCATGGCGGCGGCGGGGGGAGAACGAGAACGAAAAACGACGAGGAAAAGAAGAGAATAGAGCGAAAGCAATCCAGGTACGAAATTGAAAGAAGAGAAGCAACAAGAGTAGAGGGGAAAACGCAATATATATCACATAGAAGAAGAAGAAGAAGTGAGAAGGGGGGCTGGGGGAAGAATTCTTAGGGGGATAGTTATTTTCGACTTATTTGCTAAAGTTAAGGGATGAATAGTTAGTTGATTTATAATATGTGGGAGAAAAAGCGTATCAGCACGGGTTATTCTTTATCCGCAAGCGCCAGCCCGAGCTTCGGCGGTACTGTTATTCCGATATTCCGGTCCAAAAGAAGACAAGGCTGTTAGCTAACACATGGCCCTGCTTAGTAACCAAGCTCAGCCACTCAAAAGCAGCTAGTCCAAACAGGCAAGCGGCGGCAGAACTTGGTATGACATCCCCAGAAAAACAGTTATACAAATTCTTCGGCAGGCAAAAATCATTATCGCCATTTTTGAGTCGCCCTTCCGCTGTGTTTGTCTGTCTGTCGCTGCTGAGCCCCGTTTGACTCTTTATTATTGGTGCTGTTGTTTGCATATAGTTTATCCATATATCCCCCCCTTCCTTTTGGTGTTTTCTATTCGGATTCTATTCTTCATAACCCCCCAAACCCCCCTCTGATAACCCTCTCCCCCCCCCCCCCCAATCAGGGTTTCCCTCAAATAAGCAGCTAAAAAGGAAGAATCGGCTCTGCCCCGTCGTTGCAGGTGCTGGCCGCTTCAGTATGGTGGCAGATACCGCCTACTATGATGTCTTGGGCGTCCCGACAAATGCGACAGAGATACAAATTAAAAAGGCATATAGAAAACTAGCCATCACCACTCATCCGGGTTAGTTCATTTCGCTTTGCTTTTCCCCTCCTCTTATCTTTACTCTCTTCTTACTCAAAGTGATCAAATAGACAAGAATCCCGGAGATGAAACTGCCCATGAACGATTCCAGGCGGTACTTACATATAAATAACCCCTTGCTCTTTGCTTCTCTTACCACGCCCTCCCTCCACAATGATGCGAATAAGGGTGTTGTTATTCTAACCGCCATTTTTTCTCCAGATCGGCGAAGCCTATCAAGTCCTAAGTAATGAGCAGCTACGAAAACAGTATGATAAGTTTGGTAAAGACCAAGCGGTGCCCGATAGCGGGTTCGGTGAGTACTCCTTTTGCACCTGGCTCGCCTCATCTTAAAAGATGGGTTCATTTAACACACAATCGCAGAGGACCCCGCGGAATTTTTCAGTATGATCTTTGGAGGCGGTGCCTTCATTGATCTTATTGGCGAAATTTCCCTCATGAAAGATATTACGCAGACCATGGATATCACTATGCAGAATGAAGAGGAGGATGAACAAGCAGAACAAGCAGAGCTGGCGGAGGCAGCAAAGGAAAAACTCCATGTACATGACAAACCTCGTCCGGAGCATTCATCCCAAAAGACAAGCGGAAGCACTCCCCCCCCCCCTCAATTCACGGATCAGAAGGAATCCACGAGTGTCCCGGAGCTGAAAGTTCTTTCTACCGATGTCCCCCACCAATCAGGTCCGAGCTCCGGCGCCAATACTCCTCGTTCG